CACACTTGCAGAGATTTTATTTATGTGTAGCCAGAATTCCCCCTCACTCCAAAATCACTTTTTTCCCATTTTCAGTAGAAATTGAGTATGCCGGCTGCCATGTGATGCAGCGATTGGACCATGCATAATGGTGTGTGGAATGTCACAAAGGAAACTTGTTGCTGCATTCCTCCACTCAACAGGCTGCTGCGCCAATTGTGTCAGTGGGTGGATTTGGTCGGAGCCAGCCCGCGCTGTGAATAGAGCAGGATTAGCCATTTAGGAGGTCGACTAGGGCTGCAGAATTCTTTGACAGGAGTTTGAAGCGGTGTGTCACACCATTTCGGGGGATAATATGAGCTCAAAGAAGAGCAGGATGAGCAATCATGGGAATAATGTGTAAGCTTAAGCGCCAATAAAGAGTCATTATGAGGCTGCTCAAGGGAATTCATTCTGCATGCCTTGTAATATAAGATGTCAACCTTTTGTCATATACCTCTTTTGTGTCCCATCTTTACTGTGTTATCCATACAAAGGGTACAGCTTTCTGAGCAGTCAAATAATCAGTGGTGCAATTACTCTCAAAGGTGTGTTTAAATTTACAAGATCATTGGAAAAAAAAATCACAAGTCAAGTCTGTTGGCGGGAAACAAGTTGGTAAAACCTGTCCTTGTTTAGGATACCTTTTTTTTTAATTTTCATTCTAATTGAAAGAGCAGAAAATTATTCTAAGTGTGCCACTAAGTCTGTCTCTTTATTATAGTGGTCCACAAGAGCAAATCAAGACAGCTAATATCCACTCAGGGAGCAGACCTGATGCAGTGTATCCTTCTGTAAGACTGTGTTCTGCAGTGTGTGTATAAAAGCAGGTGGATTTAATCTAGAAATGGAGTTATTTTTTTTGAGACTTGTGATTTCTCAAAGTAGACTTCCTGTGAGGTGGCTCAGCTTTTAAACTTAAGCTGTCATCTCATGTCCAGACTCTTTCCAACTCAAGCATGGAATTTAATGCCTTCACCTTTGCTGTTTCAGATGATGAAGATGAGAAAGATGATGATGACGAGGAGATTGACGTGGTGACAGTGGAGCACAAGCAGCAGCAGCAGCAGCAGCAGCAGCGGCGCAAACCTCATCGACTGGTCAAAACTCGTAAACCGGTGACCATCACAGTGCGAGCGGACCCCCTGGACCCTGGCATGAAGCGTTTCCACATCTCCATTCACCAACAGCAGCACAACTATGCTGCACCCTCCCCAGACACACTCCCCCAACCAGCCGAGCCACCTCGGAAGAGGGTCCGACAGGAGGTCTCCACCCAGGCCTCCCAGCTTCACCAGAACTCTCATTACCAGCAGCCCCGGCCTGGCAATGCCCCCCTGAACTTTGACAGCAGAAAGTGTCATGTGACTGGGATCAGGTCAGAATCGCCCAACCTCAGCGCCTCCTCTCCTACCTCCTCAGCATCCCCTTCGTCTCCTCCATCCTCCTCCTCCTCGACAAGCTCTCACTCCCTCAGCTCTCCGACAAAGCCCCACTATTTCCCCCACCTCTCCAGCCCGCAGTCCTCAGACTGTGAGGACACGGACAAACGCAAGGCGCACAACTTTCTGGAGCGCAAACGACGGAACGACCTGCGCTCGCGTTTCCTGTCCCTGCGGGACGAGATCCCCGGTTTAGCGGACTGCCCAAAGACGCCGAAGGTGGCAATCCTGACGCGAGCCACGGAGTACTTGCATCAGCTGCACGCCAGCGAAAGGCAGAAGGCTCAGGAGCGGAAGCAGCTGAAAGCCAAGCAGCTGCAGCTACTGCAGCGGCTGGCACACCTGAAGCGATCCTGAGCGGCAGGGTCGGCTGTCACACACATGTACACTCACAGAACTGTACGGGACAACATGAAGGACAAAAGACACTAAAGTTCACTTTGAATTGGTCACGTTGGAATTGTGCGGGTGGATTTTTGTTTGTTTGTTTTCTACTTTTGTGGTTTGCACATTAGCTTCTGAGTGATTGACAAGGTCGTAAAGCCAGTCAGGACAGCAAGCTAGGGACTGATTTTATGGGTTATCTTACGGGCAGATTCATATGTCCATGGTTACTCAATATAGGTTTGTTAAACTGTTGTATCCCCCCTTGATAACAAAAACAACTGAAAATCTACTGCTTGCTACATGAAGGCTTGTTTTTCTAGCAGCAAAACTGCTGCACCTGTGCAGTTTAACTGCTGCATGGTCTGCTCAGACGTCACCTTGGTCATGAATGAGCATGGTGTGCTTGCACAGCAGTGATGTCTCTACTTTCTGTGTGTCATCAGGCTAAAAGCAACCTTAAGGTTCATGTGTTTGGCATACAACTTGTACATTTTGTTATCAGGTTGTGGCTTTTTTTCTGCTTCAGTTTTCATTTCCTCTCTCATGCTCCACAGCATGTAACCTTCACTCTGATTCTTCTTTTCCATGTCCTCAGTTGAACAATCAAACTTTGTGCTTAATGGTAATGGGGATGTGGGCTGTAGTGGGACTATATACAGAGCCTTGCAATGATAATGTTACAACTGGAAAGATACAAAATACACCTCTGAAAAAAGCTCAGGATAAGTCCTCGCTTCAGTGCCTGCAGGGTTTCCTGTTATTACTTCAGCTTTTCTATCTTGCATCATCAATGTCTGGGAAGCAGCACCATGTTCGCAGAAACAGCCGGTTTTGTAGCAGTATTTGGAGACATTAAGAAAATCTATTGCCATGAAGGCATTGTTTGAATTTGATTGTCTTATCAATTTTTAAACACTTGCAAAACTCTTACAGGATCCATAGATATCACTCTATATGTAATATGTGTGCCATGGAGACGAGCTAAAAGGTGAATATTGGCTTCAAATGAACCACCAAAAATGTGAAATGGCTTAAGAATCTGTAATTTTTAGCAACATGAAAAAAGCCTATTTTTTTTTTTTTTTTTTTTGCTTGGAGATGAAGCCCAGTGTGTTCCAACTGTACGTGTCTTTCATCTTGCTGTTTGATTTTTGTGAGTTGATTTCTTTTTGTTGCATTCGATGTAAAGCCTATAGAAGCCTTTCAATGTACGTAGATTATCCTGTTGGATGATATGTATATAGTACCCTTTACTGTACAGTCCTTCCAAACCAAAACCAGAGCTGTCTACTAAACTCATCCTAGTTTTCTTTCGGCCCTGAGTCCTGACCTGGGGACTATAGCTTGCCGGCTTTTCAAAGATAACTCAAAGCTTCTATTTTTGTTAATAAAATGATTATGAAAAAGAGTCAAAATAAAACACTTACTGAACATTGATCACACTAGCCACTTTGTCACTACTTTTTTTTTGTTTTTTGCATTGCCTAATTATTTTCTTTACTGTTTGTTACTTTTTCTGTCTCTGGAGTTTGTTTATTTGTACAAGTCAAGAGTTGACAAAAGTTTTATACTATATTTTCCTACCAAGTTGTGTTGCAGTGTGAGCTAATGACTGTTTTTGTTATTGTAGCATGCAGGGCTTTACTGGTGGTTGTGTGCTGAAGATTAGCATGTATGGTCTGCTTTCTCTCTGGGGAAAGCACTTGAATGCTCCTGTATCCAATCCAATCACTCTAGCTGTAGCACTCTCTCAAATGTGGTGTGGAGGAGGAGGAGGAGGGGGAATTAAGAGGATCTACCGATTAAACTTCTTGCTTTGCATAGCCTTTAGTGACCCTATATTGTGAGCACTTTGTCTCTGCTTTTTAGCAAGCCCGGTGCTCCCTATTGTCCCATAATAAGCCATGCATCAGAGAACACTGTAGCCTTGGAGCTAGTACTGTAAATGACTCAATTATGAGTAGCATGCCCTGCTCTCAGCAGCACTCAGGAAACTCCCAAGTACGCCGTAGCCCCTGTGACAGGGCCACAGGCCGTGCTTGAGGGGAAACACCCCCTGTTATTATATGCTGTATATTTATAATATAACGCTAGCCCGACATGGAGGGAAAGAGAGTGTGATATCAGAGGAGTCATGATGTACATGGCTAAACAAATACATCCGGATATCATCATGAATGTTTCTCTTTTCTTCCTCTGCACCAGCTGTAATTTAATTCTGCTAATTCATTTGGCACAAACTGCCGTCAGCCCTGATGTTTTGTTTTTCAACAGGTTGGACTGTTTGTAGTGGTTTGTCAATATTTTTTAAATAATTGTTTGACTTGTTTTGGTCACTGTCACAGTCATGATAGCGGTTGACCTTGCTTATTACCTTGGGAGTTTGACTATGGTGACTTCGGAGCCTCGTCTCAGCACTTTGTTTTTTTTTTTATGTACCTCATAAGCCTCTATGTATGAAGAGTAAGTCAGAAAAAATAATAAACGTATGGTTTGACATCATAAATAACCTGTTTGTCTTCTCTGTAGGCATAATGTGTCCACACACAGAAGGAATATTTATCACTGTTCTGTAGTTATGTGTAAACACACTCTCTTAATTTGAACTGGATAACAGGAAAACAAAAATCATTCACACCACCTGTATGAGTGAACACCTCTCTCTCTCTCCCCTTTTGCATTTGTTCTCTCCAGCAGTCTCCAAGGTAACCCATTCTGGCATCTTTGCCATGGCAACAAGCGTCTTAGCTCCCTGTTCCCTGCTTCCTGCTCCCTTGCAGAGCTCTGTTTCCATAGAAACCATACTAACCATACTGGAATCCTACATACAATTTCATAAACACTGAAAACGTCATCAGCAATTTGATATGTTCACAAGCGGGATGAATCCGTTCAGTGAATATTTTCTAAATGAACTGGTGGTGTCAGATCATGTCCCTATAATAGCTGAGTCTATATGTGACAATCAGAGTGTTTACTTCACATCAAAAAGGCTCAAATGTTCAAACAGTTACATAATTTAGTCCCCTATGAAAGACCCAGCATTTGAGCCCCAATCAATCACAGTTGCCCGATTACCGGCGGGCTGTTGCCTGGTAACAGAGACCACCTCCGATCTGTATGCACACTGCGCATGCGCGCGGCCGTCAGCTGGGTGCCGAGGAAGCAGCATCATGGCGGCGTCCGCTCGCAGCGTGCAGTGTGCACTGAGGAGAGCGATGGTCCCGTCGTTGGTGGTGATTTTAGGAGCTACCGGAACTGGAAAGTCCAAGCTGGCGATCGAGATCGGCAAGCGGCTCCGGGGAGAAATAATCAGCGCCGACTCCATGCAGGTAGGAGGACTGTTAAAACGAGCAAATGCCCGAGAAGTCCTTGTCATGGCAGCCATAACGCCTCAAATAAAGCTAAATAAAACATCTGCTGTTGCAGCTGGTTTTACGCAGGAGACTGTTATCCAACTTCATGGAACTTTTTTTGAACATGTAGTCGTATTAAGTTAAATGTGGTTTACCTTGCGCAGGATAGCAAACGCGAGCTGAAGCGCATATCAAGATGAACAGTTTATTTTTTTTTTAAACCGACTAATCTTTTACCATTGTGAGTTTAACATCTGCACTGACTCGTATTTAAAACTAACCTTCACCTTAGATAGCCTTTCTGTGACATTAGCTGAGTCCCTCTGAACGTGTCTGATCCACATTGTCATGTCTGCAGGGCCTGAAGGAGCCTGCAGAGACACAGCAGCTATTAGAGGCAACAACAACACCTGTAACACACATCCTCCTCAAACACATCCAGCAGATTCTGTCTTCCTTAAGAGGCCAGACACTGAAATAGCCTAGTGTAGCAAAAAAGGAAAGAGACAGTCCTTTGCAGTCGTTCACAAAGCTGATTTCGGTCTCTGTGTATGACACCTTTACGTCCCCCTTTAGTTTTTTTCCTCCTGTCCTGTATCTCTTTTTCACAGTTAATGCTCAAATGGCTATTCTGGATATGACTGATGATGATTGCATGTTTCAAAAAACAAATGTTTTTGCACTTATATGTGAATTGCTTCCTACTACTTGGATTCATAGTAGCCCGGGTATTTAAAGCTCCTATATTGATTTTAGAGGCCCATGAGGATACAGTTGTACCACTCATCTTCCCACTGTGTGTGTGTGTGTGTGTGTGTGTGTGTGTGTGTGTGTGTGTGTGTGTTTTCCCCCCCTCACAACTAAATCTACTTAACTTTCTATTAATATTCAGAAGTTTTCATCAAGAAGCATTACCATAGAAAAATGTAAAAAAAAATAAAAAAAAGGCTGATTCTGCAGCAGTTTCAGGCACTAACGATAAAGAAATATTCAATCTTGTCCTTAATGTTCTTGTTTGCTTTTGTAGCTCATTAAGAGTGAGGCTATCTGTGGTGTCAAGACCAGCTAAAAACACAAGTAAGCTTTTCGAGGGACTGGATTTGTTTTCAATGAAGGAAAACTAAAATATGTAAAAAAAAAAACGTTTAAACTGGGTGTAAAGTATAGATGAATAACTGTAAAAATTTAGAATACCATACACATTATGATCATCTACTGACAATATGAAGCATTAAGAGAATGAATAGTTACTGTGTCTTTTAATACAAAGTATACAGGATCTTAGAGGAACTACAAATCCAACTTCCTGCTGTGCGTAGCCTTCAAAATAAAGTAAGAAATTGCAGTCTATTCTTGTACACAAAAAATGAAGCTAGATAAACTTTATGTACACACACATCACACTAGAGACAAATGATTGACGCTGACAGTCTTTTGTTTACTTTATATCAGTGTGGCTCTGAGCCGATTAAAGAAACGTAATGGATCATGATCAGTCATGAATTCATGAGTTGTACTTTAATGTGGTTTTAAAAAAAAAATCATTGGTTGAATCTTTACTGTCATTTATTGTGAATCCAGTCAGAGTAAAAACTAATCTCATTCAACAGGAAGTCCTTAAAGGTTTACAAGATAAGCAGTAAGATCTTTTTGTGTGTGCGTGCGGCTGTGTGATCGCAGTGACATTTGAAGAACTCTCAGGCTCCTTGTGCTCCTCTCTCTCTCTCTCTCGCTCTCTCTCTCTCTCGCTCTCAGCCCCGCCTCCCTGCTCGTTCTCAGGCTCTGTTGCTGCAGCAACCAAAGGGCACGTACACAAAAGACAAGGTTTAATACAGGTTTGAGTCAGGGTCACAACAGAGCACAGTGTGGACACATACACACACACACACACACACACACACACACATCTTTATACATATATCTTTATCCAATCTAGATTCACTCTTTCATCTTCTTTCTCCTGCATCAGCACCACCTCCCCCCCCCCCCCCCCATCCTCCTCCCCACTCTTCGGTGTGCATTGTCCTTGAGAGTGTGCGTCCCAGTGGGGAGCGCCTTTTCCAGCAGTCACCTGGCACTGGGTAAACTGGGTTACGCTAATAACATTTGAGCCCAGAATATCTCAGCGACCAGTTGCAGCTCTGGTGGAGAGATGCTGTGGCCTAGTTTGAGCACGGCAGCCCCAGCCTATCTCCTCGTTCCCTGGCCTTGTTGCTACCCTCCTGTTGGTGTGTGTGACAGCCAGAGAAAGCGAGAGAGACACGCAGACATGGAGCGAGTGAGAAAGAGACTGCTTATGTGAGAATGGGGCTGTGTATAGGCTAGAGCTGGCCTGTGTTGTCTTTGGGATAGGAAACAGTCTGGTCTTGTTTGGGAGAAAGCAGCATTGTGCTGAGCTGGTGCATATTCAGCGCCGTGCTACGCTGGCCCAGCAGCTGATTGTGAATGGGCACGCTGTGGCCACTGGGAAGTGTCCATTGTCCCACGGAGAATTGGTTCCCACAGTCCCTAACACTCCTATTGTGTTATCATCAACCCCTCCTACCCCTGGCCCAGGCCCCCCAACCCACAGTTCATTGGACATGCAGGGGGATATTATCCACTCATTAAATGAACATGCTATCTATGGCACACATGAACACTCAGCTGTCCTGTCAGTGAATGAGGCGCTGCCAAAAAGTGTAAAGAAACATGGGTTCCCAAAGTGGGGGTCCTGGGACCAGCAGGGGGTTCTTCATAGGCTGCCAGCCAAAATATGAGGGTTCTGTCATTCTCTATGAAGTGGAATTATGGGAAAATGTGTACAAGTGTTTATTAAGGCCTCACAACCCCTCTATTCTTGAGGGCGCTAGACATCTTGTGATTGAGTCTTTATTTAGCCAAGTCCTTTAATTCCATGCAGAGAACAAGAGGTTTCTGTACACCAAGCTCATTATTAAGTTACATTGAAATATTATTACAGAAAATTGTGTGCATTTCTAAATTTAACTTGGCTCTTTTGCCCTTTAACACTTAATTTCCTGTGGGTTCATAGCACATGCAGTTTTAATATCAAGAAATGGTTTTCCATTTTCTCTGTTGCTGGTTTTATTAAAATAAGCCTTCCACTAATCTTCATGTTGGTCGAGGACTAGATTTTATAGTGTTCTGGTTTCGTGTGAAGACAGCGCAGTATTGACCTATCACATTATCAACAGGCTTCGTTCGGATGCAGGAAAAATAGTCAGTGTGAAGATCAAAAGAAGGCGGAATGCAATCCACAGTTATCACATCCAGGATGCCGTCAGCAGTAATGTGACATGGATTTATTTATCTCTATAAACAACTCTACATCAACATGTTTACCTGACGACCAAATCTGCTTGACGCTGTGTCATGAAAACCAATCAGCGTTTATTTTTACAGACTTTCTGGAATGCATCAGAAAAAAAAACAAAAAAACAAGTAATTTAATGGTTGTTTTCTCCTCCTGTTGCATGTTGACTTTTTACAAATCGACATCATGAAGTAAAAAAATGTTTATTGCATGTAAACCAAAAGAAAAATGTGTTTCCTTTAGGCCCATTACACTGAAGTAAGTTAGAGTGAAGCCTCTGTCAACTTAATACAGTTAAACTGAAACCTACCAGAAAAAGACGAGATGTAACTAACCAAAGAATGATGACATTTGTTTTGCAGTCATATCTGAAGGGGAAAATTCGCTTGCTTTTGTCTTTCTTTTTTTAATCTGAACACCCTGTCGCATCTCTACTCACTTCTCAAGTTTAAGGTTCTGGGTGGAAGTCGTTCATGGCCAATTACTTGCAACACCAGAATGCACGAAAAAGTTGACCTGTCATATGTTGTTTTCAATCCATTGGATGTTTGCTCATCAGGTAGTGAAAAACTGTGGAGGGGAGTTATGATGTTTGGGTACTATCTTGTGGATGAATGGGGATTCCAGCAGATACAGCTTTTGCACATTATCTGGACATGTACACCACACATGTATTTTGGTGTATATGTAATACTGATACATCAAGGTACAGAGAGGCTGTTGCTCTGATTGGTTTATGTCCACACGTTATTAGATGCGAGTCCTTTTGATGAGCTGTAATGGATAGACATTTGTTAATCAAGTGTCACCTCGGGGGGAGAGGATGATTTACTGGACACGGCCCAATGACAACAAGGAGAGATATTATTGGTATCAAGTATTTGATACCTGGTGACAGTTTTTGGATCAAGTGAGTGCACGTCAGTGGTGATTCATGGGAGGTATGCTCAGACCTAAACTGTTGTTTCAGAGCTATGATAATTGTTTGAATGCAGCAGAATTAATGCTCTGCTGCACATCACACAAGACAACACAGTTTATGTTGTGTGAGCTAAAGGAGTTAAACATTCATATATATATATATATATATATATGGATGGAAGGAACACAGTTTGCCGGTTGCTTACTTGTTGACTTGTTTTGTATTTGACATAATTGGTAGGTCATTTTGAAGAAGGTCCATCGGTAACTAGCTCAAAGGGGGCACATCACCGCCTATACCTTTGTTCAAATCAGACATATTTCTGTGAATAAATCCATTCTCCCCCAGTGCTTGTCTACTGGAACAAACACTCAAAGTGTACAACATAACTGAGATTAATTTAAACTGAGGGAGATATTTTTTGTCTGAGAGACTAATGTGCAGCATCCATTGGATAGAGAGTCACATATTTTTACCTTAAATAATTTTGGCAGCTCCTGTGCAAACCTCTAACGGTGTGCATGCTTTCTATGTCTTGAATTGTCTGGGCGTCACATTCAAATACTATGGCATCATGTGAGTTTCATGCTTTAACTAAAGATAATAGACACTTCTGTATGACACATTGCCATGCGTTAAGGAAGGAGTCAAGGAGGTTAACTCAGTCAGTGCTTTCATAGATCTATCTCAGGAAATAATCTGTAATAAATATTTTAAATTAAACTGGTCTGTGATGCT